CGGCTTCCCCGGCGGGCGGCGCGATGGGCTGCGGGAACTCCACCGCCACCAGCGCTGGTGCGGGCCAAGGTGAGCGCGGCAGGCGGCTAGTGGCGCGGGGACGGCGACTCGGGGGCGGTGGGGAGCTCTACAGGGTGGGCTGCCTCTGAGGAAGAGGCCGAGAGAGAGGCTTCGAGAAGGATGCAGGGACTCGGGGCTGGGACAGTCTGCAGCCCCCTCTCCCTGTCCCCATTTTTCAGACTGAGTGGACCTCCCGGTTTTGGAAAGACCGAAAGCATGGCATTCCCCCTTCCCCCGCCGCGCAGAGACGGTCACGCCTGGACGAGGAGAGCCTGCAGGGCGATCCTGCGGAGGGAGCGTGGGGATCCCTAGCGGCGGGGCTCCCCTGCAGCGGGTAGACCCGGCACCCTCCTGGGGAAGAGGGTTCCTAGTCGTGCCCAGCGTCGGTTCCCTCCTCTCCTACGCTCGCTCCTGCAGGCCTAGCCCCCAGCCCCTCGGAACCTAGAGGCTACACCTGGAAAAGTGCAGCAGAGCAATTCAGGACTTTTTTTGGAAGAGGGGTGCTAGCGAGGTTGAGAGGAACTGCAAACAGGGCTCTAAAGATTCACCCGAGTGTGGCTTGATGCTTAAGACCGCTGGGATGCTTGTAGGGTTTCTCTGAGAAGCTGCAGTATTGAGGATGCTTTAGAATATGTGTGACAGATCTTTAATATTAGCAGTGATCCGTTGATATATTTTTCATTTTAAAAAATATTGAAACTTCTTTTTACACCACTTCATTTTTTTTTTTTTTGATTGGCAGGCGAAGTCTTCTAGATTCCCCCAGTCAGCCAGGCACTGTATCCAGTGACTTATTCCAAAACTCAACCCTTCTTTTTGACTCAGCTAGTGTCTACTGATTTTAAGAGTCTGGATCTGTTTTGAGTAATATCTTCTGACCTATTTTAGTGTCTTTTGGATAAAGAACTCGTATCTCCTCCAATTGAGATCAATCAGATGCCACATCCCATCCCAACCAGCAAATGGGAACAGCGCTCTGATGCTGCAGTATTTCCTAGGCGGGTGTGGATGCCCTGTCAATGACTTTGTGACCTTGGGCCTGTCACTTCCCTTAACCCAGACCTTGAGGAAGATATGGTTTAAAATTCAAGGCTTTTCATTTATTTATTTTAAAGCTTATTGTGATGCACACCTATGGGGTCAGATAAGGAGATCTGCTCGTTTAATTGGCCAAGCCTGTTATTCCTCTTTGGCTGTCAGTGACCACACAGATAATATTTTAAGAGAAGGTGCAAAAACATGTGGGATTGTAGTCCTAGAGCTGTGACTGAACCCAGGTAGTGATTCACTGAAAACTTTCTCTTACAGGTAACCTTTACTATCTTGAATTAAATTCCATCCTTGTGATAGGCCGAGAGCCACTGTGGAACAAGTCTCCAATTCCTGTAACAGTGACATAGGTTAGTTAGCTTAGTTAGTGCTGTAGAGCAAGGACAAAATTCTAACTTGAGAGTGGCCAGAGAGCTCTGCATGGAAACCCGGAACAGAGTCAAGGCCACATCCTGCACCAGGAATTACAGTTGACCCTTGAACAACATGAGTTTGGACTGTGTGGGTCCACTTACACATGGATTTTTTTTTCAATACTAAATACTATGGACTACACAATCTTTGGTCATTTGAATCCAAGGCCATGAAACTGTGAATGTGAAGGGCTGATCAGAAGTTACTCTAGGATTTTCGACTCTGGCGGGTTGGCGCTCTTAACCCCAGCGTTGTTCAAGGGTAAAGTATTTATCTCTCCACCTAACATTTACTGTGTCCCTGTGCCTTCCACTGCACATGCACCCTACTTTTAAAAAGGTTATGAACAATTATCCACATTACAAAAAAAATCATAGGAAGGATTTGTTACCGATTTCCTTTAAAGTGGAGCTAGTTTAGTTCATTTACATATTTATTAATGAGCTGCTTGTCAGGTTTGGGGAGAGATGGAGGAGTACCATTGCTAAACCAGAATGGTAAGGTAGCTCTGAAATGGTAATGTAAGAAAGTGAGAAAATACGATTCTCTTTACAAATATTTGGTTGACTTTCTTTCTCTAGATGCACATCCCTAATTATATAAAAGGAGATAGTTATATTGAAAAAAAAAACCTCTCAAAGTGCATGTCTTCTTGCTGAGGAGCCTCACTTTTGTTTATGAAGGACAGCTCCGTAAAAGCGTGCTGTTCTCTCAAGCTCGCTCATAAAAATTACTTTATATTCGAAGAAGGAGCAAGATAGCAAGCACAGACTGTCAGACATGAAGGAGAGGAAAACAAACACTATGAGTAGGGAGTTATTGCATCGCCTCTTTGGTGACTCTGCCCTTGTCTCTGAGTCTGGGAAGTCATTCCCCGAATGTTTCTCTGCTGGTGAGTCCTGCTGGCTAGCTTTGGGATTTGGTCAGTTATTTTCAAATTTTCTGTCAGCTGATGATAGGAAATGCATCAGGAGGAGAGATGTAAGGTTAAGAAAAATAAGCCACAGTGTAAAGGTACTTCAGTTTCTTTCAGTTGTGAACTTTGGCATCAGCATCAAATATGCTGTCACCTAAGCTGCAAACATATGTTGCTGTATCCAGGTGAAATGAAGTATGTTAAATAGAGGTTGTCCCCATCCTCCAGGTAAATTTCATGCGCAGCTTCTGAAGTGTCCCAGGAGTCCTATAATCCAGTAGTCCTATTTAAGCATTTCAGAAAAAAAGGGAGAGAGACAGTGGGAAGGGTGCTGAACTAGAGCCTGAAGAGTGAGGCTCGAGCTTGACATTGGCCCTGTGCTGGTTTTGTTACCATTTCACTTTGAGCTACAGAGTAAAAGCACACTGTGCTGTAATTGTTATGCAGTAGTGGACTATTACCATGTTGAAGGTGAAATGATTTTCCCGGAATATTTTTCTATAAGAACACAGGAAATCTACTTTCAAAGGATACATTATCACATTATAAAATGCCCCCCAACTTGACATCTCTATTATAAGCCCTGTTATACTCCCTAAGTAATTCAGGTAAAACCAGATAACTGTTTCTCTTTTCCTTGAGCTGTCTGCACAACTGCCTTTCTTGGCTTATGTCTGGTGAAATTGGTTTATATGACAAATTGGTATTTAGTAGTGTACTTGAGTAAATTTGATTCTGTGTCCAATGTGTGGAGAAGCTAAAATGCAGTAAAATAGTCAGATGGCCAGAAGGAATCAGATCATTCAGGCCCTGGATAATTCAGGTTAGATTTCCTTTACAGTAGATTTCTAACTGTAAGCTTATACACAGTCCACCTCTATGTGCCAAGCTTTGTACTCAGTTATAATAGGAACTTTTAGGGCAGGGGTAGGGGCAGTCAGCAATGGATGACTGTGGAATGAAATCAAACTTTCCTGCTCTTAAGAGGTTGATTGTCTAAGGCAGGAAGATGAACCAGGTGAGAACCACTGCAAAGCAAATTGGAGTAACTGTGCACTGAACATCAAGTGCCCAGGAGGTGTTGAATAAGATGCTAGTTTAATCAGAGAGGTCTTTGGGGGAGGAGCTGAGCCATCAGTGTAGACAGGATCATGAGAACCATTTCGACTACACAAGCGCTCTCCCCATTTTAATGCTTTAGTAAGGTCACTCTCTCAATGTAGAAATTTGATTTTTCCAACCTAGGACTGTAGTCGGAGGACTTCTTGTATTTTCCATTCAGTGAAGACTCAGTGAACTCTTCCTGCATAGCGTAGAGTCTAGACCCTAAACTATAGAGAAACATCTGCATGAAAAGAGTCTGTTTTTAAAGGATTGCATTTACTGTAGGGCAAGGGGCATTTACTTTCTTTGGGTTTCTCTCTGCTCCCCATCCCCAACTCTCTCTCTCTCTCTGCAATCAGGTTCTCCATCCCCTTGTTTTTCCTTGAATATATTCCTAATTAGGCAGAGAAGTGAGCACTGCTGCATTTGAGCTGATGGTCCACAACATGCAGTCATTCCCTGCATACGGTCATGTGTGTAGACTGTTAAGTGAGTCTGTAATGTAAACCAGAAAATCCCTTCAAAGTTTAGATGGTTCCAGATACCTAAACAAGCCTATTTCAGTGCAGGCTAAGGCGGTAGAAATTATTTGCAGCAGCAGGGTCATTTCAGAAGGATTCTGCTCTTCGTAGTTGAGTGAGTTGGTTAGCTGTAGGTTTTCTACCAGAGATATGTAACTGGCAGCTATCTGACCATAACTTTGTGTGCAGTTTATTATTTGAATATTTCTATAATGGTTCTTCTGGTGATTCACATAATAGTCTGAGGCAGTGAGAAGGAGGAATTTAACAATTACTTATCTTATTTTATCAGTGTACCTGGGGAGGCACTTTAGTTCTTTTGCGTCTAATTATTAGGTTAGTTATCTCCTTATCCTCAATTAGATAATTGCATTCTCTTCTTTTGAGGTAGCTGTATGGTCTGGCCTTAATCTACATCTGTAAGTGGTAGCACTGAAATTCTGCCACTATGCTCAGTTCTAGGTCATGTGGGGGGAAATAATATAAACTAGTTCTTTGATATCAGCAAAATTTTATATCTTGTGCTACTTCCCCCAAGCTCACTAAGGCCTCAGCCCCACAATCTTCTCTATTCTTTAAATATGTTCAACTCATTTTTTTTTCTATTTGTTTGGAAACTCTTTGCTGGAGAGCCAATATATTGTTCTCCTTCTCCAAACGTAGACCTCGTGAGAGCCTCATGCATCTTGTTCTTCGCTGGACCCTCAGCCTCTAGACCTATATCCAAACTTGCAATGGAATTTTTTGGGTCTTAAAGTTTTTTTGTTGAATAAATAAATATACTGGGAAAGCAAAGAAGATAGAAAATTAAGTCCTAAATTGCGTGAGCACACTGTGACAGATGTAGCACTGGAGAGAATGAAATAAAACCTTAAGCAGTCAAGGAAGCCTGCTCGAAAGAAGTGGGACTCAATTTGACGTTGAAGAATAGGTAAGATTTGGATAAGCAGAGAGCGGAAGGGAGGGCATTTTTTGTGCTGTGTGAAAACACAGGGCCAGTGCAT